GAAGAGTTTGATTAGACTGTTTTATTAATGTTGTGAACTATAAACAGTCATTGCCCTTACTACACTCACCCTTCCTGTGACTCTGAGCCATCTCTTTGTATTATTAGAAATCTAATTCTTGGGGCGCCTGGGTGGCTCAGTCGTTAAGCATCTTCCTTCGGCTCAGGTCATGATCCCAGGGTCCTGGGATCGAGCCCCACGTCGGGCTCCCTGCTCTGCGGGAAGCCTGTTTCTCCCTTTCCCACTCTTCCCGCTTGTGTTCCCGCTCTCGCTAACTCTGTCAAATAAATAAATAAAATTAAAAAAAAAAAAAAAAGAAATCTAATTCTTCCAAAATTAACAAAAAGGGTCATGCCAAGAATCTAAAAGTTCACATCCACGATTTTCTCCTCCTCTTTCGTACATTTGGCTACTGTCAGATCCCTTGTTAATATTTGTGGTGTCATACTTGTACCTAAGACAGTCTTAAATTCTGGTGGTGAAATAAAGCTCTTTCATGTCTTTCAAATATTAATAAAAACAAGGGAAATATAATTCTGCAGTTACTCAAATGGTTAAAATTAGTTTCTGTAGGTCATTTCATAGGGTTTAAGCATTTATAGTTTGTGGTTGTTTTTTTTTTTTTTTTGAGCTGAATTGGACAGTCGGTTTGTCTGTAATTTAGCTTAAGAGAGATTTCATTTTAAGACTTTAAAAAAAATCTACAAGGAATGGAGGCCAAATGACAACAACAACCAAAAACAAATAAGTGAAAAACTTTAACAGATTCTTTTCAAAATTTCTTTTTTTTTTTTAAAGATTTTTTATTTATTACTTATTTGATAGAGACAGCGAGAGAGGGAACACAAGCAGGGGGAGTGGGAGAAGGAGAAGCAGGCTTCCCACGGAGCAGGGAGCCTGATGTGGGGCTTGATCCCAGCACCCTGGGATCATGACCTGAGCTGAAGGCAGACATTTAATGACTGAGCCACCCAGGCGCCCCTCTTTTCAAAATTTCTTAATATATTTTTCAAAATACATTCTGGGCCAATGAGTAGATAATAAAGTTGAGGCTAACAAAGGGTAGAAGTTACTGGAGTAGCTCAGGTTAAAGGTAAATTGCCATTACCCTGTGATGGTCATTACCTGTGTGGGCAGCAGTGAAAAATAGTGATCACTTAGGAGCCAAACCAGTCAACATCAAAACTGATTTCCAGCAAGTGCAGCTGCCGCGTGACTGTAGTGCATCTCAGCTACAGATGGAGTAAACTAAACTGATGGTTGAACTCGGTATTTGCTTGGAACAGCCCTCAGTCGTGAACTGTCTTCATAGTCGTATTAACATCATCCAAAGAACAATGGTTGGTAGAAAGGCTCTTTTAAAACTTCCAAGTATTAATAATGCTGAACAGATTTACTTTATAAATCATGCATAAACCATACAGATGTCCACTTTTGATTATACCCTTCCACATACTTCCTGTCTGACCCCCCCCCCCCACCGTCCTTCTCCCCAGGTTGTCCACTTCTGTTGGATTCGTTGTGAAAAATGTGTAATTTTTAGGGAATGAGATAGGAAAGATATGTAAGACAAGATTATTTAAAACGGAAGTTCTCAAACATTTGAGTGTGTCACAGTCACCTGGATGGCTGGTTAAAACACAGAGTTGTTGGGCATCATTCCTAGAGTTCCTGGGTGAGTACGAATGGGGTGGGGCCTGAGAATTTGCGTTTCTAACCAGCTGTCAGGTGATGCTAATGCTGCTGGTCCAAGTACCACACTTTGAGAATCACCGTGAGAGGAAGGTGCTTTCTGATCAAGAGTGTTATTGCTAGTTGACGGTAGGATTCAAGGAAACACGAGTGAAGTTACTTCCTGAAGCCATAGCAGCACTTTGGCTTGGCAGTTATCAAAGGAGCCTCCTTTTAAAAGCTTATTTAGGGGCTTATTTAGGTGCTCAAATGGCAGCTACTGTTTTACTATATTTGCATCTTAGAAGACTGTTTAACAGTCTTGCAGTATCTATGTGGTCAAGATGGGGAATTTTGGACTATGTGATATAATTAATTTAGAAGTGGTGAAACTTACATTTTTATAAGGCTTTCTCTAAGGGCATGCTCCATGGCTCGATTTCTTTGTCCTGAGCTTTTCAATATTTTAAGAACAGTGCAGCTGAGGATGTTGATGGCATGGTGATCCTTGCTTAGAAGGAGAATTTCTTTTGCTAATTAGGATCCTAGAAGTTCTTGACTGATTGGTAGACAAAGTGATATTTTTGAAGGAATTGATGTAAATTATTCAGCTGGGATCAAAACGTTCAATTATATAAATTCAAATTGGAAGTGGGAGAGGAATGGAAAAGAAGGTAATGGTTCAAAATCAGTGTGTGAGGGGAGTTGGGATTTTGATTAAACCAGGCCCAATATAAATAATGTGTGATGTAACTACCAGCAAAGCCTCTGTGATATTAGACTGCATCAGAGGGAGAGTAGTATCTAGAACATGGCAAGGAATTAATCTATTCCATCCTGTCTCATCATACCACCTGAGAAGTACTGTAGCCCGTTCTGGACACCACTTCTGAGAGGCATATTGATAGGAGGGAGGCCAGACAGACTGAAGACTGTGACTGAGACTGAAGACTGAGACTGCTTCAGAGAAGAACGTGTGGAAAAAAACATAGCTTTGAGAAAGAAACAGTGCATCCTCAGCTGCACTGTTCTTAAAATATTGAAAAGCTCAGGACAAAGAAATCGAGCCATGGAGCAGGGTGGGGGTGGGAGGTGTATTAGATGTCTTTGGACATTGGAAGGAGGCTTGCTTAGGCTTCTTCTGAACAGCCACAAAGCCCAGAACTAGAACCAGAGGGTGGAAATTATAAAGAAGCACATTTCTAGTTAAAACAAGGGGAAGCACTGTTCATAGTCAGGGTGGTAGAGCCCCTCTTAGTCATTGGAGGGGTTGGGGGAGTACTTGTACCAATGGGGATGTTATTACATGGGGGTGTCACTAATATAGTGTAGGTGTTGAATTAACAGAGATTCTGTAAACCAAGGAGAAAGTTCTTAACTCTGTTTTGTTTACACTATACATTCCTAAATAGAATGTTTGGCACCATACCTGAAAGATTTAGAAGTGAAATCTTTTTCAGAGAAGTAAGTTGCAAAAAGAAAAAAATTCTGCAGTTATCATCACACTCTCCATTTGTCTTCCCTACAAAATTATTATCTACTGCGTCTCCCCTATTTTCTTAAATACGCACCAAGCTAAGTTTTCCTAAGTTTGGCTAGGGACTCCACTAGGCCTTTTCCCTTATTTGCCGCAGCAGGGTTCATGTTGTTTGTGATCACTCAAGCAAACGTGTCTGAAACACAGAATGGTAACAGAATGTATCCTCAGTTGTAGCAAAATGTCCCACAAGGCTGGTAATGTGGTGGTACACCTTTGAAGCGTTTACAGGATGTCTTAAGTGCTACAGCATACTGTAGATGGACCACCAGGTAGCAGTGATTCTTGGGGGGGGAGGGGGGAAGAACTGAGGAGAATGGGAAATAAGAGATCAGAAGATGATTCTAGAGAGATGTACCTGCTTCCTGTTTTCCCTAACACTGCTTTCCCCAGATGTGGAGACAAACTGCCCTACTCTGAGGAACTCCTTCCTGTTAGAACCATAGGGTTCTTAATTGTGACCTGCTTTCATTAGCCTTTCTTTCCTCTACCTCATCATCCCTCAGTGGAATTTGGTATCCTTTTGTGTTTCCCTAAGGCAATTCCCTTTGGGTTTAATTTCAAGATTAGAACTAGTGTAAATTGTGTGTGTGGCATTGTAAAATAAAGCATACACACACAAAATATCTTATTGGGGAGCCAAATCTCTAAGCCCCTGATTAGTGAGTTAAAAGTGTCAAATAACTATTGCAGTATTTGCTTTATATGTGTGTATATATATATATTTGTTTGCCGCAAATACTTAGGCCCACCATGAGGACACACGTTGATAAATGAAGGTATGGGGGAAGATGGGGAGAAAGAAGGAAATAGGAAACTTTTACATGTAAATAAAAAGAAGTATTTTTTAAAATAATTTTTTGTGGAGCTCCTGGGTGGCTCAGTCAGTTAAGCATCCGACTTGATTTTGGCTCAGGTCATGATTTCAGGGTCATGAGATGGGAGCCCCACATTGGGCTCCGTGCTCAGTGGGGAATCTGCTTAAGATTTTCTCTCTCCCTCTGCCCCTCCCCCTGCTTGCATGCACGTGTATGTGCGCACGCTCTCTCAAATAAATAGATAAATCTTTGGAAAAAAAATAATTTTTTGTTACCTGTATTTGATCGCCTGCCTTCTGGGATTGTGAAAGGTTAATGCATTTGGCTATCCATAAGGAGAAAAGTTCAATTTCATTTGAAGTGTTCCCTCATTGAAAACATCAGTTTGTACCATCCAAGAGGACTTCTTATTTCAGTTATTATCTGAATTTAAAATTTGTTTATATGTATGTTGTATTTATTTCTACTTTATATACATACATAACATAATAATTGTAGAGTTTTTAAAGCATATAGAATACTTATGTTATTTTAGCAGGTTTTTTTTTTTTAAGATTTTATTTATTTATTTGAGAGAGAGCACGAGCAGGGGCGAGGGTCGGGGGAGAGGGAGAAGCAGACTCCTTGCCGAGAGCCAGATGTGGGGCTTGATTCCAGGACCCTGAGATCATGACCTGAGCCAAAGGCAGATGCTAAACCAACTGAGCCACCCAGGGGTCCCTGTTTAAGCAGTTTAAAAATGAGGTACTTTTAGACTTAACGAAAATTATTCTCAAAATTGTTTTTCATATGTACAGGATGCCAGGTGAGGGATTTGACTACAGCCATTGTGCTGTTTTGTTTTCTGTCCCTAGCGTTCATGCTGTGTGCATGAACCTATGAAGGAATTTGGGGTTTGCTTTAGAGCTAATGTAGTATGCATATGTGTGACATATTTTTATTTCAATTATTGTTTCACTTTTTAAAATTTTCAGCATGTTGGAACAGGATTCCAGGAGAAAGAATCCTAGTGTGAATCCTGCAAATCAAAGGAGGCATCTTCTAGAATTTTCTGCTAAAGAGGTGGAAGATACGTCAGATGGTATCATCCAGAAAAACAGCTACAGGTTAGAAGATGGCATGTCTCTGTCTGTTAAAATGATTTAATGAAACTGCCGTGGGGAATTATATAGTATAACTTTACATCTAACTTGTTAATGCACAGTTTTAATTTGTAGAACAAACAAGTTATTGAGGCCCTTAGTAAATTTTACTGTTAAGATCAGTTCTAAGAATAAATTTCCTTTTGAAACCTTTCCCAATTTTGGAATTCTTACAGAGATGTGACCTTAAAATCTCAGTTTGTATGTACTGAGATAGATATGGAGGCACATACAATATACACACATTATATTATACATAATGTTTTTAATGTAGGTTTTTATCTGTCATATGGTTACATGTATATAGTATATGTAATAGTATCATCTTGGGATGAATATGATCTGGTGGAGTGATATGGGTGAACCTCTGTGCAGTCATTTGATCAGATCGTTTATACTTATTGTGATCTCTGTTGGATCTCCCTCCCTTGTTATGGTTTATCATTCTCCTGGTAAATTTCTGTATAGCTTGCCAATAGTAAAAGACTTAAAATTTTTTGAAAAGACAAGGTCTATATTATGTAAACTAGAAGAAGGCTGTAGTGGACATTTTCAGAGCTGTATACTTTTTGATAAACATTTCCCTGTGTTATTTGGAATTTTTATTAGAACCAAGTGGAGTGAGGTCCTTAACTCACAAAGCAAAGGGAGCTCACAGTGTGGCAACAATGTATTGCACAATATAACCCTTGAGAATCATTAAAGATTTGTTTACTTGTAACTCTGTAAGGTTCTACAGGCCAAGGGCCATAGGGGAATCTTTTTTTTTTTTTTTTTACTGTGACAGCCGTATCACTGAATGAAATTATCACCATAGTCCTGTGGGCTTGTCTCCATTTAGCCTTCCTGGAAAAAATATGCTAGTATTCATTATTTTAGGAATCTACAGTGGGTAAAGTACTATGTTAAGTGTGGCGCAGGATCCAGAGAATTATGTGGCAGTAAGTGTAATGAGTACAATGTGATGCATGCCATAATATTGGAAACTGTAATAATATATATAACATTTCTTGCTTTTTTTTTTACTTGCCAAAATTAGCCATACTTCTGAATACTGATCTTAGTGCTCACTTAATGGTGTCTTTGAATATTGCTAGAGTTAAATAGTATCTTTCATTTTACTACATCATTTGTCCAAGTTTGCCCTACATGTTCTGCATGTAATTTTGAGTTCTGTTGTCCACATGAGATCCATCAAAACTTACATTTTAAATTTGAGAGTCTTTGGATTTATGAGAGTTGTGAATGTGCCTTTTGGGTACATATTTGCTGGTTGTTAAAAAGTAGAACTAATTATTGAACTTGAAACAAGTAGAACTTGAAATTATAGTTCAGGTAACCTTTACAAGAATATTACTTATTTTGTACTAACCTCAGTAAATAGACGCTTTCACCTATTTGTCTGTGGTAGAGTAAGGTAACATGGAAAGCATAGTGCTCTGATCATCCTATTCAACCTAGATGTTTGAATGACCTTCAGGCTGTAATTTATCAGCTTTCAAAGTAGTGTATGAAATGCAAGCCATTCGCCGTTCCCCACCCCAGAGTCACCATTGCCTGTGCTTTGTTACTGGTATTGGTAAAACATGGAAAGGATTATGGATTCTTGCCTGCATGCAAATCTCTTGAAATATCTAAAATTATTATTGAGCAGCTTGAGAGATGCAAGTAGGTATCAGTCCACCAACTTGATATTCTTGCTTTTATCATTATAAATACTGAATAAAAGATTGCATTTTAGTTGGTTTACTTATACACAGCCATGACACTTTGTTTGTTTTTTAATGCAGCTTACTTTTTATTATGTTTCAGTTTTTAGGAGAATTATGAGAACTGGTTCAAATAAAAAAGGAGTAGGGTGTAATCCCATAATTTATAACATTGCATTCTCTTAGCATTTAGTAATTAAATGCATATATGTTTTCAGTTTTAGAAATGTATAGTTTATAATAAGATGACCATATAATTTGTCAACCAAACTGGGATACTCTTAAGAATGGAAGGTAGTGTTAAGTAATAATTACATCAGGACATCAGGCATAAATCCAGGACTGTCTTGGATAAAAGAGAAGGAATGGTTGCCCTTCGTAGAAGGCATCAGCCAGAACCTGTCTTTATTCCAGGGATTCTCATTAACTCTACCTCCCTAGCACTGCCCTTTACTTTAGTGATTTATTTGCTCAAGCGGTGGCTATTGATATGAAATAGTTTGCAAGCAGCTTAGGACTCCGACCATCTCAGGATTAGTGTGGATCTGATTGTCTCCAGATTGCATGTTGGCTTAGATTCTCCCTTTTCTTTTCCCTTCAGCTCCACCCAGTTCCTTTCCTGGTATTTCTCCTATCAGATTTTTTTTCCTTTTCCGAAGAATATTTTTGGCTGATAGAACAAAGCCAGTTAGAACAGCTATGCAGAAGTCATTATACTAGAGTTTATCATGTGGAAATAAAATTATAAATCAAAAATATATCTTCAGAAGTAATTTTAGATTTCTCTGATGGATAATAGCATTTATATTTTTGTAAGTATGAAGGCCTGATTTTTTAAACTAAGGCACATGTGACAGGTCTTTGGTTTTTGTTGTTGTTGTTGTTGTTTTTAAGTTGTAGTGAACAGCCTCCTCTTGTAGGCATTTAGAATTTACCCATACAAGGGAGAGGTTTTTTTTTTCTTTTCTCTCAACACTTAATTTTAGGGTGATTTCTGTGCAGTTACTACCTGTGCACCACCATCTCTGTGTTATTCCAAACAGTTTAACTCTCAGAGGCAGAGGAGGAGACATGGAGAATGTTCTGGTGCAACTTGCAGGGAAGAATGATGTGTATATCCTCAGCTGTTGCTTTTTTCCCCATGGTGTGTGGCATACAGAGAAGCCTGTAACTTTTCTCTTAAAGTTAGTTTTTCAGTCTGCCAAAATTATTTTTGTCAAGGAGGCCAGTTATTTCAGTGTTGACAACTTCAGTGGAAACTTCTGTCTTTATCTTGATCTTTCCTCAGCATCTGGCTGTGTGGATCCCTCCTTCCTTGAAACATTCTCCTTTGTGTTGCTACATTTTTCAGTTTCCTTCTTTTTCACGGGCCTCTGTTTCAGTCATCTTTCTGGGCTCCTCCTTTATTCAAATCTCATCGTCTGGAACTGTGGACTTTTTAGTTATCTTTCTGCTTATGTGACTCATCCGTAATTTAGCACACCATCCCTATCTCTGTAGCCTGACAACTCCCAAATTTATGTTTCCCATCCAGACTTCTCTTCTGAGTCTCCAGGCTGCTCTATCCCAGTAGTTTTCTTGACGTTTCTTTTTCTTTTTTTTTTTTTTTAACATTTTAAACTTAACACATGCATGGCGGAACTCTAGGTGCCTTTTTGTGTTCATCCTCCAGCCTCTTCTCCACAACAGTCTTCCTCGTCCTGTTGCTTAGCCAGAAACCCTGATTCCTCCCTTTCAACAAGTACCATTGATATTCTTCCCAAAAAGTGTTTTGCACTGGTTCATGCTCTCCATCTTCGCTGCCAGCACCTTAGTCCTGCTGTCTTCAGCTCTTGCCTGGATTATAGCTCTCTCCTGACTGGTCTCCCAGCTTCCCCTGTGGCCTCCACTGGATCCATTTTTGGTACAATGGCAGGGTGCAGGCATACACTGAAATATATCACTTCTCTCCTTAAGTAATGCCTTATCATAATCTGGCCTCTTTTTTTTTTAAAGATTTTATTTCTTCATTTGAGAGAGAGAGACAGAGAGGACGAGCAGGCAGAAGGGCAGAGGGAAAGGGAGAGGGGAAGCAGATTCCCCATTGAGCAGGGAGCTGACATGGGGCTCCATCCCAGGACCCTGAGGTCATGACCTGAGCTGAAGTAAGACGCTTAACCAGCTGAACCACCCAGGCGCCCCCTGGTTTCTGTCTTTCTAACCTTGTCTTGTGCTTCCCTCACTTGCTCACAACTCTTCAGCTGGTGAGTGGTCTTCTTTAAGTTCCTGAAGACGGCCATCTCCCCACCTGCATCTGTCCAGAACACTCTTTCCCAAGTTTCTGTAGTACTGGCTTCTTCTCATCCTTTAGGCCTCGACTTAAATACCATCTCCTCAGACCATTTTATCTAGGGACTGCCATTGGTTTTCTATTTCTAGTTAGATTCTTTCTTAATTTGGATTTATTTTATGTGTTTGTTCTCATATTTGGTCCATCTTCCTCCTTAAGGTCTTTGAGGATAGAGACTTCATTTTTCTTGCTCCCCGTTGGATTCCTAGCAATTGTACCTGGCATAGTTGGTATAGGTTGAATGAATTAATGAAAACTGTGAATTCAGCCATGTCTGATTTTGTGTTTACATTTTTTCTTCTTGGGTTTCAGCTAAATATCTAGTTTTCTAAATCTAGAGCATTGAATATAAAGAAATTCAAGACAGATCTTTTTAATGAGAAAGGTTAAAATAGCAGACTGAAGAGACTAAATAGCAGTAATGCCCCCAGCTCCACTTCTGATTTTCAGCCTAGGTTCTGCTCCCTCCATCACACCATGGATATGAATTCAGTGTGACGGTTAGGAAAGTATATTTTGAAGCTAATGGAGTAACTGGTTAATATTACTTTGGTGTTTTATTAGTGACTTGGATTCTTCCATGATTCTAAAATTTATATTCACCTTTTCAACACTTCACTTCTCTCTCACCGAGTGTTTTATGCTTCTCCTTACCCCTGCCACACACAGTTTTAAGGAAACTTCAGTTTTGTTATCACAGAATTGTGAATGACCACAAAACTTTAGTCTGTTCACATAATAATACTGTCTTTCCTATCAGTCAGTGGGTCCTTCTCCCCAAATCCCCCCATTACTGTGTCACCTCTGTTCCAGCAGCACTGTGTATGCCTCGAGCTCACTGAAGACACAGACCATGTGTTAGCATCGTTTCCTTAGTTTGGGGCACATAGTAATTGCTCAATAAATGGTGGCTAGATAAATGTGAATTACCATGACAATCTGCAGAAAATTGGAAAGTGACATTTGTGCTACATGGTCTCTGTCTATACTTCCCTCTTTTTCTGTTGCATTTGCTTCTCTCTTGCGGTATATTCCATTTACTATATTTTTATTTCCCTAAAAAGTTAATACTAGTAATGATTTTCTTGTAGCAAACTAAGGAATTTAAGACACAAGGAGACAGATTTTGTGCATATGTTTTTCAGATATGATCATTCTGTTTCAAATGACAAGGCCCTCATGGTGCTAAGTGAAGAACCATTACTCTATATTCCTCCACCTCCTTGTCAGCCCCTGATTAACACCACAGAATCTCTCAGGTGAGTGTTGTAGATTGTTACACAAATATCAGAGTGGGTTCTTGGGTTTAGCTTTGGAACCTAGAAAACTATTTGTTCAGATTAGTTAAGTGACTGAGAGAAGCTCTGATTATTTGTTGGATGATCATAGGCATATCAGTTGTTGTCCAGTTTCCCTACCAACCTGATAAAGATGGTGATGGGTCTATTTTGCATGATAGTATTGGGGTTGCATACTTAAATATGCCTTATTTGAAAACTACAGAATGAGACTAATATGAAAATTTAGGATGTTAGATTTGAGAAGTGGTAACATTCATAGCAGAAGGTGCCTTTTCTTCAAGTTAGGAGATAACAGTTTGAAGAGAAGTGATTCTGGAGATATTTTCCCATTAGGGCACACCTTACCTTTCCTTATTTACTTTTCCCTTGAATATTTTCCTGTGGTTTTGGATTCTATTCTTGAACTTCAAAAATTGCTTCAGTTTTTTTAAGTAGTAATCAACTCTAGTTAAGTAAGCATGGTCTGACATCTTCACAACTGCTGTAAAAAGTAAGCATAATAAATGGAACCTACATTTGAACTAGTCCTTTTTTTTTATTTGCAGTGTTGGAAATTTTGGTTATAGTGCATTGAAATTTATTTCTTTCCTTTTTTTTTTTCCCCTGAGCAATTGAGTTCATTCTTTTCCTTCTCCCAAAAGAGCATGATTTTCAAAGGCTTTAATGCATTCATTTGCCAGTAGGATCCTGTAATTTACTAAATGCTCTTCATTGTCTCCAGTGTTTGTGTGTATGTAGCCCAAGAGCAGAAACAGGAAGTACTCTTGTGAAAAAAACCTTTGCATTCAGTTTTTATATTTGGAAGGTATTTAGTTACGTTTTCTTTTTTTTAAAATCTGAACTCATGATTGAGGAGGCTACTATATAAAAATGCATGTTGTATTAAAAATAACATTAGTATCTTAGCTTTTTCAAATCAAAAAGGAATATTGAATCATCAGGCACTAGGGATTCTATTTGGAACTTACAGAATGTGATTAAATTCATTTTTAACCAAAGGTGAGACATTTATTTCTCTGAAGTATGCTTAATTAACTAAGCTGTTTTATAGGTTAAATCATGAACTTCGAGGATGGGTTCATAGGCATGAAGTGGAAAGGACCAAGTCAAGAAGAATGACGAATAATCAGCAGAAAACCCGTATTCTTCAGGTTTGTTTCTGCGTGTCTTTGAACAATGGTTGACATATTGGCTGGCCATCTTCCCTCAGATGGGTTGCTTTCGTCCATGAAAAACTTGGGACACTTGAACTTTCAGTCACTTCCCACTGCCTTTTCTGCGGCTCTGGTGCAGCCGTCGCTGCCACTGAAGCCCTCGTTCCAGGTGTTAGAGTGCCAGTAGTTCTCGCTTGGGCCTGGTGCTCCTTCCTGCTCTCTCCCCCAGCTTTACTTTCAAGCCAGGGGTTCCTGTGCATGGACATCTGTGTCAAATGTTTTTGGCACAGATGGTGTGGTAAATGGTACTGTTTATCTCCTCTGTTCTTAGAGCTTTTCAGAAAGGAGGTTTTGAAACATAGCACAGCTTAGAAATGGAGGCACATCTTCCTGGAGAGCATTTTTGAACTTAGACATGTGGGTCTGGCTATAGGTTAATGACAACTCTAATTCAGAACCTATTGAGCTGGGCTTCCATTTTTTTTTTTTTTTTTTTTTTTTTAAGGATTTTATTTTTAAGTAATCTCTACACCCAGTGTGGGGCTTGAATTTAGAACCCTGAGATCAAGAGTCACATGCTCTACCTACTGAGCCAATCAGGCGGCCCAGTTGGGCTTCCATTTTAATGTTTACCACAAAGCACCGTTTGTAGTCATTCCATCATCCATCAGATATTCGTTATTACTTTTGAAGCACTTAGACTAGGAACTGGCACATTCTAAGCTCCCAACAAACATTACCTATGGTAGTAATAATGAGTCAGGTATGGTTCTAAATCCTGGGAATATAGTCGTGAGTGCGATAAAATCCCTGCCTTCATGGAACTTACATTCTGGTGGGATAGATAAGCAATAAACAAGTAAAGTGAAAGACAAATACCATATGATCTCCCTTATATGTGGAATCAATTTAAAAAATACAACTAAAACAAAAACTGAACTCTTGATGCAGAGAACAGATACAGAGGCCGGGGGGTAGGGGGGTGCGTGAAATAGGCAGAGAGGGTCAAAAGGTACAAATTTCTAGTTAAAAAATAAGTAGGTTATAAGGCTACAATACATAGCATGGTGACTATAGTTAATAATACTGTATTTGTATATTTGGAACTTAGTAAGAGAGTCTATCTTTAAAGTTCTCATCACAAAGGAAAAAATTAAATAAATAAATATTTAAATATACTCAAAACTAGAGATGAGTTCTCTAAAGAAAAAGTGGGCTTGGAGATTAGACGTTAAATTGAGAGATGAGTGGCTATTTTAGATTGAATAGCCATTCTAGAGAAGGCTTCTCCAAAGAGCACTTGAGTAAGGTATTGTCAAGGTAATTAATGCTAGGTGTTGTAAAAACTAGCTTCAAAATCTCAATAGCTTAATGGAATAAAAATTTATTTCTCACCTATACAAGTCTGATATAGCTCTCTAGGATGGCTTTCCTTCAAGCAGTGACTAAGGAATCCAGGTTCTTTCCACTTTGTGGCCCCAACAACTTGAAATTCTTTGCCTCTAGCTTTGGATGTTGGGGAAGAGAGAGCTTGGAAGATTGTGCAGAACGTTTTAGGGATCCAGCCTGGACTTTAGCCAATGTTCAGTTGACTAAAACTCTGTGACTTTTCATGGTCTCTCTTGCAGTATAGGTTAGGCAAATGTAGTCTTCCGAGTGCTCAGGAAGAAGAAAACGGTTTGGTGAGAACATTGCTTTTGCAATAGCAAAAAATGAAGGAGTGAACGATGTAAAGATCCAAGGGAAAATCTGGAGAAAAAGGGGAACAGCAAATATGAAGCCTCTCAGGAGGAAACAGTCTGCATAATTGAGAAACATCAAGAAGTTGTATAAGGCTGGACTGCAATGTCTAAAGGTAGAATAGTAGACGATGACCTGAGGGAGGCAGCAGAGGCTAATTCGTATCCAGCCTCATAGGCTATGGTGAGAAGCATTGAGAGGTTTGAGCCGGGGAGTGACTTGATTTTTCCCCAAGATTTTCTCTTCTTTTCAGCAAATTGACTGTAATGTGACTAGGCGTAGTTTTCTTTTTTTTTAAATTTAGATTCAGTTAATTAAGATATAGTGTATTATTAGTTTCAGAGGTAGAGGTCAGTGATTCATCAGTTATATCTAATACCCAGTGCTCGTTACATCACATGCCCTCCTTAATGTCCATCACTCAGTTACCCCATCTCCTTACCCCCCTCCCCTCCAGCAACCCTCAGTTTGTTTCCTATGCTTAAGAGTCTCATATGGTGGGCGCCTGGGTGGCTCAGTTCGTTAAGCGACTGCCTTCGGCTCAGGTCATGATCCTGGAGTCCCTGGATCGAGTCCCGCATCAGACTCCCTGCTCGGCAGGGAGTCTGCTTCTCCCTCTGACCCTCCCGACCCTCCCCCCTCTCATGTGCTCTCTCTCTCAGTCTCTCTCTCTCAAATAAATAAATAAAAATCTTAAAAAAAAAAAAAAAAGAGTCTCTTATGGTTTGTCTCCTTCTCTCTGATTTCATCTTGTTTTATTTTTCCCTGTCTTCCCCTATCCTCTGTTTTGTTTCTTAAATTCCACATATGAGTGAGATCATATAATAAATGTCTTTCTCTGATTGACCTATTTCACTTAGCATAATACCTTCTAGTTCCATCCACGTCATTGCAAATGGCAAGATTCCATTTTTTTGATGGCTGAGTAGTATTCCATTGTATATATACACCACATCTTCTTCTTATTTTTTTAAATTTTATTTTACTGTGTCATGTTAATCACCATACATTACATCATTAGTTTTTGATGTAGTGTTCCATGATTCATTGTTTGTGTATAACACCCAGTGCTCCATTCAATACGTGCACTCTTTAATACCCATCACCAGGCTAACCCATCCCCCCACTCACCTCCCCTCTAGAACCCTCAGTTTGTTTCTCAGAGTCCATAGTCTCTCATGGTTCATCTCCCCCTCCGACTCCCCCCCCCCTTCATTCTTCCCCTCCTGCTGTCTTCTTTTTTTTTTTTAAACATATAATGTATTATTTGTTTCAGAGGTACAGGTCTGTGATTCAACAGTCTTACACAATTCACAGCACTCACCATAGCACATACCCTCCCCAGGGTCTTATCACCCAGCCACCCCATCCCTCCCACCCCCCACCACTCCAGCAACCCTCCGTTTGTTTCCTGAGATTAAGGATTCCTCATGTCAGTGAGATCATGTGATACGTGTCTTTCTCTGATTGGCTTATTTCACCTAGCATAATACCCTCTAGTTTCCATCCACGTCGTAGCAAATGGCAAGATTTTGTGTTGTTGTTGTTGTTTGTTTTTTTTGATGGCTGCATAATATTCCATTGTATATATATACCACATCTTCTTTATCCATTCATCTATTGGTGGACATCTTGGCTCTTTCCATAGTTTGGCTATTGTGGACATTGCTGCTATAAACATTGGGGTGCACATACCCCTTCGGATCCCTACATTTGTATCTTTGGGGTAAATACCCAGTGGTGCAATTGCTGGGTCGTAGGGTAGCTCTATTTTTAACTTTTTGAGGAACCTCCATACTGTTTTCCAGAGTGGCTGCACCAGCTTGCATTCCCACCAACAGTGTAGGGGGGTTCCCCTTTCTCCGCATCCTCGCCAACATCTGTCATTTCCTGAGTTGTTAATTTTAGTCATTCTGACTGGTGTGAGGTGGTATCTCATTGAGGTTTTGATTTGGATTTCCCTGTTGCTGAGCGATGTTGAGCACTTTTTCATGTGTCTGTTGGCCATTTGGATGTCTTCTTTGGAAAAATGTCTGTTCATGTCTTCTGCCCATTTTTTCATTGGATTATTTGTTCTTTGGGTGTTGAGTTTGTTAAGTTCATTATAGATTTTGGATTCTAGCCCTTTATCTGATATGTCATTTGCAAATATCTTCTCCCATTCTGTCGGTTGTCTTTTGGTTTTGTTGACTGTTTCCTTTGCTGTGCAGAAGCTTTTTATCTTGATGAAGTCCCAATAGTTCATTTTTGCCCTTTCTTCCCTTGACTTTGGCGATGTTTCTAGGAAGAAGTTGCTGTGGCTGAGGTCGAAGACGTTGCTGCCTGTGTTCTCCTTTAGGATTCTGATGGACTCCTGTCTCACATTTAGGTCTTTCATCCATTTTGAGTCTGTTTTTGTGTGTGGTGTAAGGAAATGGTCCAGTTTCATTCTTCTGCATGTGGCTGTCCAATTTTCCCAACACCATTTGTTGAAGAGACTGTCTTTTTTCCATTGGATGTTCTTTCCTGCTTTGTTGAAGATTAGTTGACCATAAAGTTGAGGGTCCATTTCTGGGCTCTCTCTTCTGTTGCATTGATCTATGTGTCTGTTTTTGTGCCAGTACCATACTGTCTTGATGATGACAGCTTTGTAATAGAGCTTGAAGTCCGGAATTGTGATGCCGCCAGCTTTGCTTTTCTTTTTCAACATTCCTCTGGCCATTCGGGGTCTTTTCTGGTTCCATACAAATTTTAGGATTATTTGTTCCATTTCTTTGAAAAAAGTGGATGGTATTTTGATAGGGATTGCATTGAATGTGTAGATTGCTCTAGGTAGCATTGACATCTTCACAATATTTGTTCTTCCACTCCATGAGCATGGAACATTTTTCCATTTCTTTGTGTCTTCCTCAATTTCTTTCATGAGTATTTTATAGTTTTCTGAGTACAGATCCTTTGCCTCTTTGGTTAGATTTATTCCTAGGTATCTTATGGTTTTGGGTGTGATTGTAAATGGGATTGAATCCTTAATTTCTCTTTCTTCTGTCTTGTTGTTGGTGTATAGGAATGCCACTGATTTCTGTGCATTGATTTTATATCCCGCCACTTGACTGAATTCCTGTATGAGTTCTAGCAGTTTTGGGGTGGAGTCTTTGGGGTTTTCCACATAAAGTATCATATCATCTGCAAAGAGTGAGAGTTTGACTTCTTCTTTGCCGATTCGGTTGCCTTTGATTTCTTTTTGTTGTCTGATTGCTGTGGCTAGGACTTCTACTACT